TGCCGCACCAGGCAGTGTTGGCTGCTGCTGCTCGCTCAGAGCTTGCGCGCTGGACAGCCCATAGGCGGCAGTGGCAAACACTGCCCGGCGCAGCAAGCAGGGGGGACCACAGCTGCTGTTGCCACGTGCAAACCCAACGGGCAAGGCCGGAGCCGGAGCGGGGCCCAGGCTGGTGGTGGGGCTGGGTTACAAGGTGGTACTGAGTGTGGCGTGGGGAAAAGAGGCCCCTTGCCCGCCCTGTGGCTGACACCCCCTGCTGCAGCCTCTAAGAGCCTGTGCAGGGCTGTCTGGAGCAGGCACCGGCAGCCCCATGTAGGCTGCGAGCGGTTGCAGTGCGGCGCCAGGCACGGGGCGGGCGAGGGGCCGCTTTCTTCTATGCCGGGAAGGAGCCTGGGGAAAAGCTGAGCGTGGGGTGGGGAAAAGTGGCTCCTCGCCCGCCCTGTGGCCAGTGCTCCCTGCTTCAGCCGCTCCCAGCCCACGCAAGGCTGTGTGGAGCAGGCACAGGCAGCCCCACGTGGGTTGTGAGTGGCTGCAGCGTGGGCCACTTTTCCACCCCATGGTTAGCTTTTCCCCAGGCTCCTTCCCTGCCCAGGGTCCTCCCCTGCCTTCCCCCTTACCTGCAGTTCCGGCGCGGGGCAGCCACGTGGTCCCAGGCCAGAAGCCCCTGCTGGGGCTTCCGGCTGGGGGGGCATGGCCGGGTAGGCCCTGCTGTTGTGGAAGTCCACCGGGCTTCCCCTGGGTCCTACTGCCCCTGGTTCCTGTCATTTTTTACATGAACCAAGGGCAGATAAATATTAATATTCTAAATTTTTCAGGGGCCCTGCGGGCCAGATAGAATGTCCTTGCGGGCCGTATTTTCCCCACCCCTGTTATATAGCATGTTACACAAGATAATCAAAATTTCTGACTTTTAAATCAATGAGCACATCTAACCAACCAGTACAGACAGCTCTGCATAAAATGGTCTGTTATTGCTTACTACTTCTCCAATCTTTTGGTCATTTGCAAGTTTTACCTGCAGCGATTTAGCCGAGCACTTCATTATCAGTAACAGCATCAGCCTATTTATAGTTCCTTGAAAAATAAGGCATTTTACTGCGCATTTAAAGTACTTGTCATATAAAGCTGAACCCTTTAACATTTAAAGACATAAATGCAGCATCTGTAGATTACCACTGGAGATGCAGAAGCAATGAGCTACTGTTACATTACTTACTCAAGTTGCAGTACTTGGTCCTCCATCAAAGAAATGAGAGGAGAGATGACTATTCCTGTACGTCTCATGTAAACAGGTGGAAACTGGAAACACAGGCTCTTCCCATATCCTTATAGATAACATATAAATAAGGGTGTATTAAAAAGACTAGAATTCTAATTCCTCCTCAAAGCCCTGCTTCTTAACTTACTCTCCCCTTTATTGTACTTCTAACATTAAAAATGATCTTGTACGCATTTATCTAGATGAAATTTACTACAAAACAGTCCTAAAAACAGCTTACATTTGTTCCCTTACTATAAAGGCACATACTAAACGTAACTTACCAGTTGCCATGACAACAAGATTATCTCTTCTACCTTCTAAAACAGAATAGATTACTTTCCACTGGACCCTTGAAATCAAAAATATATTTTTATTTGCCTACAACGTATTGTATCAGGCATGCATATAACATTAGAACTTAAGTAAAATAGAGGCAGTTCAATAAAAACACTAAAAAAATAGTTTCATAGTAGCTAGGGTCAGGAGGGACCTGAACAGATCATCTAGCCTGACCCCC